AGATCAAGAGCCATGGAAAGGATTTCCTGGTCTAAAGAATGGACCTTCCAACAAACTAACACAGAAAATAATTTTACAATATTTACTTTAGAAAACGACCATATTTCTTCAGTTCTAAGACATCACCTTTTCACATTTTATTGATACTACAATAGACATACTAGCTAGCATTCATTTTGGACTTTGTACAAGGTACAAGTGCTTTATATGTGTTGACTTGTTAATATGGATCATTTCATTTATAATATGGAACTATTTCACCTCCTCCTTCCTGAAAAAGTGCTATTAAACCACTGGTACAAACGTAAACTCCATGGCTGTTTAGAATCCAGAAAGTATGATGTATGGAGGAATAAATAGTGTTTATAGATGAAAATGTATAAAAATACATTGACAAAACTTTCTAAGCTTCTTAGCCTTGATTGCTAGGCCCTTGCTAATGACTTTGTGAGGATCACCTGTAGCCCTGATACCCTTGAACAGTAGCTAATCTGTTGCATCAAAGGCCATACCAGCTTCAAAACTGGAAAGTCTGCTCATTCAAAATTCACCCCCATTCAGCAACCACATACCTAGCTCTGCTTGTGGCTTTCACCTAGGCTTGGAAGGTGGCTCTGATTTATTTACAAACAGGGCATCAACTATCTAAACCATCAGTGTAAAGTCAAAATAGACGATTATGTTGGATTGGGTTTTGCAGGAGCAGTTTGTGAGACAGATTGGTAAATTACGATTGATTGTTTTTTAGGGTCACCACCTGGGGGGAATGAGGAGCGGCTGGATGTGCTATGAAGTTGTTGCATACTCCTTAGCTGATCCTAGGTGTGGGGGAGCTCCGAAATGAAGGTGTCCTGAATTGGGGTTGGGGCTGGACAAAGGCTCCCTGGCGCTTACTGGATATGAGTACCCCCAGGGAGAGGCTGGACTCCCCAGAGTGGCCGTTACTCTTGGCTGAGGGCCCTTCCTGGGTTGTTGCTGTTGTTCACTCGCCAAGTCGTGTCCAGCTCCTCTGTGACTCCGTGGATGGTAGCTCGCCAGGCTCCTGTGTCCATGGGATTTCCCAAGCAAGAATGCTGGAGCGGGTGGTAATTTCCTCTTCCAGGGGATCGACCTGGCTGAGGGGTCACACTTGTGCCTCCTGTGTAGTCAGATGCTTCACCATCTGAGCCACCAGGGAAGTCTAGATAGCCTTTATTCCTGATGCCATCACTACTTTTTTTTTTAAATTAATTAATTAATTAATTAATTAATTAATTTTTTTTATCACAACCATAGTGATCACTACTTTTTATAAGCACTGCAGTAGGTGGAGAAAGAGACCAGCTTCATCACTTGTGTCATCCCCCTCGATTATAGAAAACTTTCTCTGAGTGAATGCCCTTTAATGTACACAAATATCCTCACACATTGTGCCCACTCTTAAAAGAGCATCCATATACCTCTTCTCTAAACCTCCTTTCCCCGAATCCTTTTGCTCCCAAGTTATTGACCATTCAGGAAAACCATGAGCTATTGCCCATGGATGAGTGTAGGTCTATACTTCTGGCCATCTCTCAATGTAGACAAAGCAGACACCCAATGTACTGCACTGTGGACATTCCTTGTGCTAAGATAATTTTCCTTCAGGACTACTGTCAGGGACATTCGTCATGGCAGTTCTAATGCTAAAACAAACCACTTCAAGCTTCTGCCAGCATATGGAGGAGAACTGTTTGTAAACCAGTTAACTGGTTGAAGATGAGGAAGCAATATACCAGCAGTAAGAGCCAAAGGAATCTGAGTCACTGGTTAAGGCAACTAGTGCTTTCCAGGCCTGCTCAAGCTGTCTCTTACGTACCACTTCTATTAGATGAAGGATTGCTCTTGTGCATGCCCAACCTTATGGGTTGATGGGTCAGACAATAACGGGTTCATAATGGGCAGCTGAGGTTGCATAGTCATTTGATGTCTCATGGCCAGTCATTCAAATTCCCTAGCAAGATAGGTACAATTTCTCAAATGGAGAACTGTCATCTGCAGAAGAGGGCATGGCTTTGTTGTGAAGCTAAAGAAGGCTGTATTGTGGGTCTTCTATCAGAGTTGGCCTTTCCCTGGTATACAATGTAGAAAAAGAATACTCAGTAGTAGGACATTAAGATCCAGAGGAACCAAATCCGCAACTTTTAGGTATCATAGGATTCCTCTGGATCATAAGGTCCCATTAAGGAGTCTTCTTTTTCTACCTTGTATACCAGGGACATTGTTATCTCCATTTCATCAAATATATACTACCACTGAGTCTGAGTTACTTTAACCAATGAAGCAAACTGTTGGAGTCACTTTCAATTTATGAACTCACACATTAAATCCAGACTTTATGGTAAATGCACCCATATCAGTAAATTTAGCTCAATCTTTTTGCTCTTTATTTTGCCTGGAACCTGACCAAGAACTGTTTGACCTTTCACAAAACCATGTCATCAATGACAACACCAGTGTTGATATGTGAGTTGCTAGTAAAACACATTCATATTGGATTGCATTTGTAATTTTCTCATTCAGATTGGTTCTACATACAAGTAAGTGCAAGTATCTTATTATTGTGTCTTCTGATAGAGCTGTGCTATAGCATTTACTTATTGAAATACACATTAATTATAAATCACTTTCCTTTTATTTTCCTTATTATACAATTAGGGCATTATATTGATTTGGAGCGAAATTTGCCTCAGTAGGTAATATTACCTATGAATTTCATTTCATTTCATTAAAATACTAGTTATAAAAGAAGATGATGGGTCTGAAAGGGCTGAGAACTGCATGCCCCTCCTTTCAGGTTAGGTCCCAAGAACTTATGTGTAGACATGCCTGTGGTGAACCAAAGTGGATCTTGAGTACATCTGCCAAATCAAGTCATTTGTTATCTGAAAGTCAGCTTTATTTAGGTAGAGAAGTCAGGGTCTTATTGTTACTTATTAATACAAAGCCATGAAGGATGATATTAGTAAATAGACAAACCAACAACAGCACTGAAGAACTGCTCCACAGATGCAACAAAAGCAAACTGTTTTGTGTTTGAGTGAGGCCTTGGACAGAAATCTTTTTTGTCTCTGTGCATCACTGAGGACTGTGGAAGCCAGGAGAGTGCTTTCTTGGTCCCCTTGTCCGTGTGATCTGAATCCCAAGTCCACGGTTAGATAACAAATGGGAGAACGCCAAGCAAATGCTATCACCCCTCCTCTCCGTTCTCAAATAGACTCTTGGGGAGGCTCTGAAAGTGGGGAGGTGGAGTCCACATTAGATTTGTGAATTAAGGGTAGATACTGTAGTTTTGGTTTGCTGTTCAATGTAGGTTCATTCCATGACATGCCAGGGGCCCGTGGGTCAGCCTGGGAGCAGCACCCCATCCACTTGCCCACTTAACTCTTCCTCTGGCAGAATCTCAACTCTGTCACTTTGTCAGGGAAACCCATCTTCACCTACTAGTCTGGCTTGATTCCTCAGTCATGGATTTCTTTACAAGTATTTTTTTCCCCTGTGAACCCTTATCTCAGTCGGTAATTACATTCATTAGCGGTGATTATTTATGTCAGACATCTCCTAAGACTAAGTATCTTGGATGTTTATGCTCCCCCTTTCATGTGTCTCTAGCCAGCATCTGGTACAAAGTCAGCACTCAGAACATAGTTGTTGAATGACTAAGCGTGCGCGCATGCTAAGTCACTTCAGTCCTGTTTCCACTCTTGGCGACTCTATGGACTGTAGCCCACCAGGCTCCTCTGTCCATGGGGGCTCTCCAGGCAGCAAGAATCTGGAATGGGCTGCCATTTCCTTCTCCAGGAATGAACAAGCATTTGCTCCAAATTCCACAAGTATTAACACTTTGCTATGATTATGTATATTACTGTTGTGTGTGTATGCTGTTTGACAACTTGGTCTTCTGTCTATTGAAGAGCATGGTAATTGGATTTTGTAGAAATGAGTGAGTCAACTGGTGGAAACCCTCAAAAGCCCAATTAATGCAGCAGTTCAAGACCTTTTCTTCTCCTGTAACGCTGCTCCATCTCCTTCCTCCTCAAATCAAAACCCACTGTTTGAATTTAACGATGGGGTTCTGCGTGTCTAGCTGGGAGGCAGCTGGGGAGCAAGGTGAAAGGGCCAGAGCCCCACGTCCCTACCCGCCAAGCGTTTCACAAAAACTAGCTAAGGAATGAGTCAGGGCCTCCCTGTATTAAACAAAGAGAGCACCAGCCTAGAGGGCCCTGGCCAGGTGGGATAATTTGAAGAGCTGGGCGGGTTCCGGACTAGGAAGAGGTTTAGAGGAAGGCGTGTGGTCCAATCCCCTGGTTTGAAATTGGCTACGAGTGAATGCAGCCTTTAAAGCCCCTCGGGTGTATCCACAGGGGGTGCTCACGAGGTCGTGTGTGTGTGTGTGTGTGTGTGTGTGTGTGCGCGCGCGGCGGGATGGTGAGACAGGGCGGGGGGTTCACGATCACTAACCCCCCACCCCTCCCCAGCCCGGGGGCCTCTAGCCGTGGACGCCCGGCGTGGGGGCAGCGCGGGCGGCCGGGGCCGGATTCCGCTAGCCCGGGCGCAGTGTGCAGGTGCCGGAAGCAGGCGGCGGTCTGACCCCACCGCGGCGCGCCCGGTGCGGGAGCCGGCGAGCACCGCGAGCCGCGGGCTGCGAGGCGCGGCCGCGGGCGGCAGGAGGCAGCGTCGGCCCAGGCGGCGCGGCGGCGAGCGAGGCAGCGCGCGGTGATGTCAGTGGCGGCCCGGCTGGCAGCAGCCGGTACTTCCTGTATAAAGGCGGGCGGGCTCGGCTGCAAACCCTACTAGCCAGTGTCAGCCTCTCGGCGGGAGGAGGAGAAGGCGGCGGCGGAGGAGGGGCAGGGGGAGGGCTGTCAAATTCGGGAGCCAGATTTTTTTCCCTTCCCTTGGCAATCCCTTCCGCTTCCCCGGCTCCTGGCGTGACATCTGCGGGCCGGGGACCTGTATGTGTGTGCGCGCGAAGGAGCGGAAGAATGGCCGTGCTCAAACTCACCGACCAGGTAGGGGCGGCGGCGCCGGCGGGCGGGACGCGCGGGCGCGGGGCCCGGCGGGGGGATGGGGGCGCGGCGCGGAGCGCGCCCGCGAGCTGTTTACTCGCGGCGAAGGGGAGGAGTGTGTGCGGCCGCCGGCTGCTCCGAAAGCCGGCGGCTGCAGCCCTCCTCCCCGGCTGGGTCCCCGCCCTGGGCCGTCGGAACTGCGCGCTCGGCTCGGCGGCCGGGGCGCCCCGGGGGCTGGGGAAGGGGCGGCGGGGCTCTGGCTGGCGTGCGGGGGTGCGTTGTCCGCGGGCCGGGGCTGGGCAGGGGGAGGGGAGGCTCGGGGTGCTCCTCGGGCGCTGCGCAGCTTGGGCTCCGCCAGCCCGGGCGGGCCGGAGGGAGGCTGGTGCGCGCCGCCGGGAGGAGGAAGGTGGATGGAGAGGGAGAAGGACCGCAGCCTGGGACCCTTTTCCCAGCCAAGCTGGAGACCGGCCCAGACCGCGGCTCTTGTGTGGTCGGGCTGTCTTTATCCTTTTGACATGACACCCCGACTTCCTCTTAGTAGCCCAGAGGCTGTGTGTGCGTGGTGCACGATGGGGATCTCTGGCACGGCTGTCCCTGGAGGAGGTGAAGTTCGGCCCGGGGTTCCACTCACAGACGGTGGGCTACCCTCTGCCTGTGTTCACGAGCTTTGTCGCTTTCCGGCCAAGCCGTAGCTCTGGAGCCCTTTGCTTGGAGAGGTGGGGATGTTTGCTGGCTCGGTTGACAGTCCTCGCTGGAAGTCTGTGGCACGGGACACCTCTGCCTTTAGGGACGCTGCTGCTCTGAGGGCATGGGCACTCACAAGCGCCCAACCAAGCCGTATGACAAAACTCTGCAACTCCTTCTACGAAAAAAGGAAACAGCTTGCTTTTATTTCTTTTTCCATTTATTCATGGATAGTGAAATGAACATTGTTTTGCGGTCCTGGTAGGCGGAGAGGCAGACTTGATTTTGACACAGGCGGTCAAACATGCCAGTCCTGGTGTTTAAACATCTACTTCTCAAGTAGGTTGCATCTGGTGCCTTGCTGTTCTCAGTATCCAGCCAGAACTTCCTGAGACTTAAGTGCAATCAATCACCACATTAATTTGTTCTCCTGCCTTTAGAGTCAAAGTTTTGCTTTGCTTTCTATAAGTATTTACAGGCTTTTAAAATTTTCTTTTTATATGGGGGAGGGATCACTGAATTAAAATTAACTTATCCTTAAATTTAGCAGGAGGAGCAGCTGGTAGTGCTGAATCTACTTGTTTCCATTGGTTCCAGAGCATTTAAAAGTGCTTGTAAGTTGATATTAGTTTAGCCCTCCCCCCAACCCCCCCCCTTTTAGTCACACACTTTGACAACTGTTAGACATTTGCTTGTTTTAAATCTTTCGATTTTAGTCTGCCTTGGTCATGTTATCTTTGTCATTGCAAGTTACTATACTTCTCTGTTAATTTCTAAATATTCATCTTCAAAGTACACAAAATGCTTCTAATAGGTGTTGTCATTTTCACATACACAGAAGAATTGTGCATAGAACTTTAGAGCTGGAAGGGATGCCAAACGTAATCTTCACCCAGATCCTTATTTTTTTAACCAAGAGACTGAGGTCTAGACAAGGGAAGCATGTCTTCCTCAAGGACACAACTCTTGAGATGCACTCCTGTCTCCTGCCTTCCAGATTCCTGCCCTTTCTTCTAGGGAAGGTTAAGATACCTCCTTCTGTCTTGTCAATGGCTGTGTTGAAAGGCTGACAAGAAGGCATCCTCTGCTAAATCAGGATAACACTGCTGAAAAGTATTTTTTGATGTTAGAAAATTATTCTCCAGGACTTATCCGAGTAGAACTTTCAAAGAGTTTCCCTTTTAAAGTGTTTTTGAATACATCCCCACCCTTTCCCCAACAAACCAGCCCTGTGGAGGGGTGTTTGATTCCATCTCCTGATGCATAACGGGAAACTAAGGAGTTCTAAATTCATGAACACCTAGAAGTTGACAGCCTGTGGGGCAAAGCCGGAGGGAGAGGAGGTGGACTGGGTGGGGTAGAGTGGTGAACAAGTATGGTTTCTGGGAGGCCTTAGGTCCAGGAAGTGTGTGGTCTTTCTTGCCTTATATAGTCTTACCTTTCAGTTTGAAACTCTAAATTCTTAGAAGCTGGTTCTTAACCTCATCAGAGGCTTAAAAACCCTTTGCTTAAACCCCTGCTCCAGGAGCCTTGCTTCACCCTTATGGTAGGGAGCCCCTTGCTTCAAATCTGGACCTTAGAGTTTGTAGAAATGCCTCGCTCTCCACTCAGCTGTGTATTAAAACAACCACGTGTTAATTCCCTCTCATTTGTTTAATGCTCTGTTTGCAAGCTGGATATTCTTTTTGTCAGAGTTCTTCGACTTTTAGCATGAAAACACATTCTTGTGTTAATAACCTGAATCGTTAGTTGACTTGGCTTTTTTGTTTTATTATTTAGGTCTTTGTTTTTGAGTTTTATAATTTGTTTAATTGACATAACATTGATTTATAATAGATAAGTTTCATGCGTACATGAAAAAATTGACATTTCCTGTCCTGCTGAAACTGGGTGCAGGAGTTTGCTGGCGATGGTGGTCACCTCCTCAGTAGTCAGTCCCTCGCTGACATCTCTGTCATGCAAGATGATGAAAATGCCTTTTCCTAGCTCTGTTTTGGGAGAGTTAAAAGAAAGGAGGAAGGGAGAGGCAAGTGTGGGGTTTAGTTTTTTTTTTTTTACTATGAAAAGGAACTAGGAGTTATTGCTGCAAATAGACTTGGCATTGAGCACTTCTGCATTTGTAACTGTCTCTTCTGTTTTCCCCTTCACACAATACACATCATTTTTCTTATAGTGTTAGGGGGACTGTTCCTGGTTTGCCAAGACTGGGGGGTTTTCAAGGATATGGGACTTTTGATACTAAAACCAGGAAATTCTAGGCAAATCAGGACAAGCTGATCACCCTATACAGCACAGAACACACTCACCTATGTAATTAACATAACAAGGTAATTATTTCCTCATCGATGGATATTGGGATGTTTATTTATATCTTTGCAAAGTGAGATAATCTTAAGTTCGGGAAGAATTTCTTTACATCTAAATGTAATACATCTTAGTTAAAGATAGATGTGAAGTTCCTTGCAATATTGAACTTTATGGGATGAGGGGGGTGTTCTTTATGTCATATAGTGAAAGCATTGCAGTGATTTTAAGAATGTGGTCGTATCTTCAACCTGGCCTGGTGCCCCCTCCCCAAAGTTTCTCAAAGTTCTGAAGCAGAATGGTAAGTTCTGTCGGACCTTTGAAATGTTCCCCATTCTTTCCTGAATTTGCTAGTGTCAGCAGAATGCCATCTCCTTCTCCAGGACTCTTGGCTGTAGGTGGCCCTTTTTGGAGCTTCCTGCCCGGAGGCCTTCTGGTTTGGTGTCCTCTGGCCAAGTCCTGGCTCACATTTTAGGCACCTCCTTGCCAAAGGCGATGGCTGGCAGCTGTGGCAGTGGCATGAAACTGGAAATCCTGCAACTTTGAAAGCAGCATTTCTAGCCCCTAGTGTGGAGCACATTACATATTTTACTGGGCTGCCCTTGTCCTCCCAGCAGCACTGGGCTTATAGCAAACGCTGTGTCCAGTCTGCCTTCAGCAGAGAAGGGAAAATAAAAGCTTCATTCTTTGGACCCTTCTCTGGTTGTTTTGAGATGCAGTCACGTGGTTTGGGGAGTGCACTTGAGGACTGGTGTTAATAGCAGAGACCTAATAATGGCTTACATTATTGTGATCTTATTATATGCTGGGCCCTTGCCGTGAATCATCTATCTTAATCCTCACAGCCATACGAGGAGGTAGGTGGTGGTGATGAATAAAGAGGCTAATTGACCTGTTCGGGCTCACACCCCCAGTAAGTGATGGAGTGCAGTGTCCTGCACAACAGTCTGATTGCACAGGTGGGGCTCTGACCACATGGCTGTTCTTCAGATAGTTGAAAGGGCAGTGTAGCCGAAGCCGTCACAGATGCCTGCTCTAATCTACCGGGAAGCCATCAGGTGAGCCACAGTCCCACAGTCCTCCTAGCTCGGGGGCCAGGCCAAGGTACGGCCACGGCAGAGTCGGGAGCTGTTCTGAGGTCTCTACTCCTGCTAGAGTAGTGCCTGGCTTATCCTGTTTGCCTTTCACCTCCCTACCCTGGAGAATGATGTGTTGATTGGTGACTTGGTGATTTTTTTTTCTTGGTCATTAGCGAATGAACTATGATCATTGTAGAAAAATCAGAAAGCTAGATAACCAAAAAGAAAACCTGTTTAAACCATCTGAAGTCTCTATATCTGTATGCTCAGAGCTGCTCTTGACAGCTTGATATATTTCCTTCTAGTCTTTTGTCTGGGTAGCCAAGTAAGAATTTAAAATTTTCCACCTGATAATATCTTTCTCTTTAGCATAAAGGTTATACCTATGATGTTTAGACCAAGGCCTTTTCCAAATAAACTGAAATTTATGCCTGTCAATAAACAACTGGCTGCTTTAGTGTAAATACAACAGTGGTACACAAGGTCTAGCCCTGGATTGACTGAAACTTTAAGGTTTCAGCTTTTACTTCCTCTTCTTCTCTAAACAGAGAGTAAATATAAACTCCAAAAAGGCACACTTGTTTGTGCCAGCAACAGGCCTGAAACATTTTTTAAAACGATTTCTGTGTCGCAAATATAATGTGAATTTTTATAGGTAAAAGTAGAACATGAAATAATTTAAAAATAGAGGCTACAGAGATCTGATAATCCTATGGTTTCCAACCTTGCATAAACTATGGTTCTCCTTTTTGTTTTATCCCAAGGAAAATTCCATATTGAAGCTCATTGTATAATAGAGGTTGGTGGGAGTAGTGGTGAGGCCCTTTCAAGGATTATTTGGGTTTAGTATTATTTGAAAACATCCTGTAAAACTGCTGGTGACTGGGTCAGTTTTTTTTTTTTTCCTGAAACACCATGTACTCAAAAAACGGATAT